ACTGCTAGCGCTTGTCAGAGCCTTTGTTAATTTTTTTTCTCGCAGTAAAATGCTGTTCCAACTTACTCTGTTTTCTCTGAGTCCGTGAGAGAAATGAATCTTTCATGTAAGAACCTAGCTGAACTACTAGCCTGTTTAACTACTCTAAGACCTCCCGAGTATCACTTAAAAACGAAAGAAGACCAAATCTTTACTTTGCCTTTCAGCTGCAAATTCGTGCCCGAAATAAAACTGACTCGTAGACATAACTTACCGTACATCTGGCTTATTTTCATCTATGCCCATTCATTTGATCTTATACGAATTTCTGGCAGGTAAGATGAAGAAATAAGCACGTGCCGGATTGAATTCGGCTAAGCCATGTCCTTCTCATTGGGCACTGGTTTACGGCGTCTCCTCCCTTGGGTGTTTGTAATTGCTGACGTGCCCCATGCCCCATCCCCGGGCTTAAAATATAAAAATTTATTGATTTATTTATACTTGGTGCAGACTTTCCCGTCACTTTCGGACTTATTGTCGACCGCGAAGCTGACTTTCCCAGGTATTCCTTCACCTGTAGTGTCCCGCAAATTCACCGTCCTGGACCCTTACCGGATATTCAATTTCGCTAACTTCTTGCGAGATATTCTGCTCTCACTTGCCTCAATGTTTCCACACCACCTCATGACATCGTCCATTACATCCGGATTACTGGTCCTCCTGTGTTTCCTCGTCCTCGCCGTCTCGTGCCTGCACGAATTTCTGCTGCCAAAGCCGAGTTCAAGGATATGCTTCTGGTGATCATCAATCGTCAATCCAAAAGCCCATGGGCCTCCTTTCTTCATATGGTCCCAGAGGTCACCACGGTTGACTGGCGTCCCTGTGTTGACTACAGGGGTTTAAGCAATGTCACCATTCCGGAACACTATCCCATTCCGCTTCTTCAAGCCTGCCAGTGTCCTATACGGGAAACCTTTTTTTCGATGATCGATGTGGTCCGTGCCTTCCATCAGATCCTCTTAGCTCCAGAGGGCGTTTCGAAGACCGCAGTAACAAAGTTTCAGAGGTTTGTAGAGAGAGTGCTTCGCGGCTTCCATTTTGTCTACGTCTACATTGACGACGTTTAGGTTGCCAGTCCCTACACCGAAGGCCACATGGAGCATTTTACAACTGTTTTGACCGCCTTCAACAATTTGGCGTTATCCTTAACCCATCCAAGTGCGTTTCTAGCGTTCCCATTCCTGAGTTTCTTGTATACATGGTCGACACCAACGGCATCCATCCTCTCTCTTGCAAGGTCGCGGTCATTCGTGATTTCTCGCCTCCTTCTTCCAAGCGTCAACTCCAGCGATCTTTGGACACGGTGACTTTTTACCGCCGGTTTCTCCGTTACTGTGCCAATATTATTCTGCCACTCACGAATCTCCTTTCGTATCCCAAAGGTTCGTTTGAGCTATCTACAGTCACCCTTGCTACTTTCGACAAGGTCAAGACTGCCTTAGCCGATGCCATCCTTATGACGCACCCAGTCCCTGGTGCTCATGGTTGATACTTCCAATGTCGCAGTCAGTGCGGTTCTCCAGCAGCATCTTGAAGGTCA